AGTAATAGCACACCAATCGGGAACAATCCGCACGTTTCGGTATATTACTGTCTATGTAGTGTAAAAACTGTGGGAGGAGTTAGGGTGGTAAATTTGGCTATAATAATAAGAATATATATGTGAGATAACAGTAAGTGGTCTTGCCATGCAAGAACACTTAATAAAAGGATTTGAAATGAAAACAATGATGTCCAATTGTGAGAGTGGAGGACGAAGGAGTGCAATGAGGGGAAAGTGGATGAGGAGGGTGAAGATCCTCTTTAGGTACATCTGTACTGTTTATTTTTTGTAATACATTTTTCTGTAAATATTTTTCTTGCACCAATTTGCTTTTCTTATTAAACCATATTTAAAAATCATTAAGCTGATTCTCTAAATGCTCTAAAAATGACTCAGAATCCTTACCTCTTTAAAGAATGTTACAATATTTCAAATATTATCTCATTCCTATATGGCACAGGTGTCAAACTGGTGGCCCTCCAGCTGTTACCAAACTACAAGTTCCATGAGGCATTGCAAGATTGACAGTTACAAGTATGATTCCCAAAGGCAGAGGCATGATGGGACTTGTAGTTTCGCAACAGCTGGAGGACCTCCAGTTTGACACCCCTGCTATATGGCATGGTAGTGGGTGTCAAAGACATTTACTTACCAGAATCGCTAAAACAGCTACAGTGAATGGTGCATGTTTCTGTTCTTTGTGTGTAAGAGGTAACCAACCACAGTGATAATCACCCTGTCTGCCGACACTGAGGATGTTGTCCCATGAGCTGGAAACCTCTGTGCAGGGCAAGGCTAAGAGTACCATTGTTACAAGCTTTACCTGCCTTCTACTTCCCTGGCATGTGCTACTGCTCTGCATTCACTGGCTGTGTGACTTTGTCTTCCAGCAGTACATGTCTACTATGCAAATGACCTGAAAGAAACATAGTTTGCACTGCAAAGGGAAGATGTGTTTAGCCATTCATCTCTGTGCACCAGACTGTTTCAAATTATGGATTAAATTAGCAAATTATTCAGAATTACCGAGCACTACCATTATTTTAAAATATCTGCCCGGAATATCTCTTTTCCTCCCCCAAGATATGGATTGAAGATTTCAGTCTGTCTCACTAATGTTCTTGTCCTATCTCGCTCTCTTCTCCGTCTTGCGGTACAGAACTTTGACCTTTAAAAGAGCACACATCTGGCACTGCTGCCATGCTGGGCTACACTTGCACAAGTACTGCTGTTGCTGCTGCCATGAAAGGATCTGATTATAACAGACAGATGATCTTGGATGGGAACTTGGTGGTATGCCCCTGGACTTGTCTTAGTAGAAATTTTAATGAAGGGAGTTTCTGTCCACCAACAGAAAAGATGGAAGGCGATTACTGCAGTCAGGTGCATAGAGAATAGATTCCCCCGTGTAGTGAAAACTCTTCCCCTCTGTTTTGCAGGGAAACTGTTTCATGTAATCAGTGCCTGTAGAACAGTAGCATATGTGTGAGAATCAGAAGATGGGAGGGATAGTCTGAACAATCACCTTTCTGCTTTGCTACACCACCCTGTCATTCTAGATGGAAGGTCCTGAACCTGCAAACTTGAATGTGGGAGTGGTCATGCGCCCATAACATTTTCTTCATGCAGGAGAATAATGTGCATTTATTTTCACAGGACATTGAAAACATTGTTAATGCAATCAGTGGATTACAGGTGCAAATATCAGGCTCCTGCAGACTCTTCCTCCGGCTTTCTGCCTGTACCTCTGTACGGGCTTTCAGTTGGAGATCTGGAAGAAGTGTCAATGTACTATGAGTGCTCTGATAGCTACACTCGTATTCCATTGAGAACTAGGAAGTCTGTCTGCTGTAGTGGCAGAAGGAACTCTGTGAATGAACAACACAACTGTGCTGACTGAGCCCCACACAGCCACAGTGCTTTTGAAAGTGATAGCGAATGTGGAGGAGAAGAATCCCCGAATGTTGTCACGGTGAGGTGGGATTAGGCAATCAGATATTCCCTGGATCAACTTTACCTATAAATGTTGGTATCCAGATATATTATGTGTATCTAGGAAAGAATCCAGACCTTTTTTAAAGCAACCTACTGGGCTGGCCAGAACCAAATTTTGAGGAAGTCTATTCCACATTTTCACAGCTCTTACTGCGAAGAAACCTTTATGTATTTTGAGATTAAATCTCTTTTCCTCCAGACTTAAAGCATGCCCCCTTGTCCTCTGTGATAACCTCTATTTTATACATGTTGATCATATCCCCCCTTAATCTCCTCTTTTCAAGAGAGAATAAATTCAGTTCCTCTAATCTTTCCTCATAGCTGATCTCCTCCATGCCTCTTATCAGTTTGGTTGCCCTTCTCTACACTTTGTACAGTTCCCTACATATTCCAGATGAGGTCTTACTAATGATTTGTACAGAGGTAATATGATATCTCTCTCTCTGGAGTCTATACCTCTTTTAATGCAAGAGAGGATTTTGCTGGCTTTAGAAACCGCAGCTTGGCATTGCATGCCATTATTTAGCTTGTGATCTACCAGAACTCCCAGATCCTTCTCCACCATTGATTCCCCCAGTTGTACCCCCCCTAGTATGTGTGATGCATGCATATTCTTACCCCCCAAGCCACCTTACATTTATCAACATTAAACCTCATTTGCCACATAGTTGGTCAATTAAACAGTGTATTGAGGTCAGCTTGTAAGTTGGAGACATCCTGGTAAGGACGTTATTCCACTGCACTAAATATCGGCGTAACACGTGGAGTTAAAGGTGGAGTTAGCCTTTAAAGTAAAACAAACTCAGATTTGGCCACTAATATAAAGGATAACCCCTTAACTCCCTCACACTCATCTTTCAGAAAATTCGTACAAACATTCATATGAAAATTTTCAGTATATTCTATTCAAGAATCACTCTAAATTAGTTCAAGATTTGGTTTGCTTTTAACCTTCCATTTTGGATTGAATGTAATTTACTGCACAAAAAAACCACAAAATACACCGTTAGAAATTTGTACGTTCAAGGAAAATTCTTACTCCTTCGAATTTTATTATCCCTGTGGTTGAAAACAAATGTCGATTTGACCCACTAATGATTATAAAAAAAGGAATGCTTTTTTTACAATTAAAAATGTTGAAAAAAATTCTAAAATTCTACTAGTGTATACCCAGCTTTAGACCTACTGATAGATTTTATGGAATTCTCTAAATGAAGTAACAGAGTAGAGGCTACACAATGATCCTATTTTGGGCCAAACAACAGTATCCCACTAAAATTTTGTGTTTCCCACATGGGCTTTTGGCATACGGCAGTCGACTCTTCTTAATTCTTTGGAGACAGCCAACGCCTGGCAGAGGCCGTCAGTACCACAGTGGGCTCGGATTGGCCTCCACGTCATGATTTCATAAAAGCTTTATTGAACCACAGACCGCATACAGCGTGTCCCCACCTGGGAACTTCGTCCATCTTTAGAGCTCGGGACATGCTGTTTGCTGTCTGTGGTTCAGTAACGATTTTACGCTTTTATGAATTAGTGACATCATTGCTTGTGTGTGGCCTACACACCTGTTACATTCTTGGTTTCAAAAGCGTGTATGTGCTCCTTTGCCAGTATCCAATGTTTCCTTGTTGAATGAGAGGCTCAGTTTCTGAATTGGTGCTGCTTGGTCTAGATCAGTGGTTCTTAACCTGGGTTCGATCGAACCCCAGGGGTTCGGTGAGTCAGTCTCGCGGGTTCGGCGGAGGTGAAGACCCACACGATGATTCGTGCAGTAAATATTCATTATTATGTTTTTGTTTTTGTGTGAAAATCATGTTTTTAATGGTTTTGTTCTTTGTTCTTAACGGTTTTGTTCATTTTGTGCACCTATGTATAAATATATACCTAAATATATACCTATGTTTTGAATTTTAAAAATCATATTTTATTTTTCCAATTAAGAAGGGTTCGGTGAATGCGCATATGAAACTGGTGGGGTTCAGTACCTCCAACAAGGTTAAGAACCACTGGTCTAGATAGTCTCTGAATGAATTGTTTAAAATAAAAACAAAACTATTTGCTTATATATACACACTATACACTGGTTCTATATACACTATATTGCCAAAAGTATTGGGATGCCTGCCTTTACATGCACATGAACTTTAATGGTATCCCAGTCTTAGTCCATAGGGTTCAATATTGAGTTGGCCCACCCTTTGCAGCTTCAAATCTTCCACAAGGTTTAGAAGTGTGTTTATGGGAATGTTTGACCATTCTTCCAGAAGAGCATTTGTGAGGTCAGGCACTGATGTCGGACGAGAAGGCCTGGCTCACAGTCTCTGCTCTAATTCATCCCAAAGGTGTTCTATCAGCTTGAGGTCAGGACTATGTGCAGGCCAGTCAAGTTCCTCCACCTCAAACTCGCTCATCCATGTCTTTATAGACCTTGCTTTGTGCACTGGTGCTCAGTCATGTTGGAATGGGACGGGGCCATCCCCACACTCTTTCTGTACCATTCTCCTGGCAATCTCCAAACCCAGACACATCCATCAGATTGCCAGACAGAGAAGCATGATTCGTCACTCCAGAGAACATGGAAACCCATTTAATGAAGCTCTCTATGCATTTCTGTTGTGCTAATCTGAAGGCCACATGAAGTTTTGGAGTTCTTTAGCTATTGACTTTGCAGACAGTTGGCAACTTCTGTGCACTTCAGCATGAGTTGACCCTGCTCTGCCATTTTACGTGGCCTACCACTTTGTTGCTGAGTTGCTGTTGTTCCCATTTGCTTCCACTTTGTTATAATACCACTAACAGTTGACTGTGGAATATTTAGGAAATTTCACTGTGGAAAATTTAAAGGAAATTTCACGGATGGACTTATTGCACAGGTGGCAACCTATCAGGGTATCACGCTTGAATTCACGAGCTCCTGAGAGCGACCCATTCTATTCACATTTTTTTCTTTCAAAAATGTTTGTAGAAGCAGTCTGCATGCCTAGGTGCTTAATTTAATACACCAGTGGCCATGGATGTGATTGGAACACCTGAATTCAATGATTTGGAAGGGTGTCCCAATACTTTTGGCAATATAGTGTATATACAGTAGGTGTTACAAATATGGGCTAAAAAATAATAGTTTTGGAATTAGCACTGTTTTGAAACCAAATACTTTGTTTTCTGGTGTTTTTGTCTGCTTTGTAATACTCCTGAAAGATCTGGACTTGCATAGTGCTTGGCAAAAATACAGATTATTCTGACCTACTTTGCATACTTGGGCAACTTTTCCAAAAGGCTGGAATACATGGCTTGAATTTCGGCTAAGTCATGTGGAATAGTCTGAAACTCAAGCTGTGAGGGCCCCTGTCGGCACCAGCCAGCTTGACAATAGACAATTGTTCGTTCGACTTTTGTCAGAGAAGTCAGTTGAAAATTGTCAGCCAAACAGTGACTGCATTCAATCACATGGAGCCACTCTTTGAGTATTCTGCCAGCTTCCATCAGAATAAATACTCAGCAAGGAAAATCCATTCATCAATTCTGAAAGAAAGAAATCTATGCAAGTATGTCCAGCATAAATCTCTGCTAAGGCAGATGATATAATAAGTTTATTTACTATAGGCTTTGTTTTTTTGTTTGAACATAATAATAGAAAGTGGTGAGTTTATGATGGACTGTACAGGGTTATCAAAATGAAATAATGTAAAATCTGTAATGAGACGGACAACTGGCAGTCTTAAAGTGCTACATCCTATCTCCATGGGGTTGATCAGAAGTAATTATAGGCTTAATATAAATCCTACATTCGCCTGATATGGTGTTGCTTTGATTGGAGCTCTGCTATCTTTCCGAACAAGAAATGCAAATGAATTTCTGTAAAACACTCAAACTGAAACAGACAATGTGTTGCTTTGATGAAACCTCACATATGTCTTCGACAATTACTAAAGTCATAGGCTGATCTTGCTGACAGTGATACAAACTATTTTTGCATACTTTCTTCATGCCGAATGTGCTGGTTGGCAGACTTGCTTATGGTAAATGTTAGTAATAAATCACACTGTTTACTGAACTCATTTTATCATTTTGATCAGTGAAATAGAGAAACTTCATACTGGTTTAAAAAACAGATTCCTGTCTCCATACAAACAATGTGGATACAGGAAACCTCCCCGCCTGGACATTGTATTCTGACAGTGGGGACTCCCCACTGTCAGAATACACTGATCAACGCTGCAGCCGCTGACTGCATTAAAATTTTCCAGCAGGTCTGTTCAACAGAAGCAAATTTAACAATCAACTTCTGTTTAACAGGGAAAGCAAAACAGAGATTGAAATTCATCTGGTCCATGCTGAACTGGATGAATGTGTACCCAGCTTAGTATAGAAGTAGACAAAATCCTAGAACATAACACGTTTGATTCTCACTTTAAACTGCTTCACTTCCTCTAGTGCAGGGGTCTCTGCATGATATGATTCAGAACAACAGAGGAAGAACTTCAGTAAAACAAAGGAAAGAGTTTCCAAATAAACTTGAGACCATCAGAGTACCCCCTTGCATCAGGGTCGCCATCAGAGCCCCTTTGCATCAGGGTCCCCATCAGAATCTCCAACAGGTCTGGATGAGGAAAGTGCCATGCTCCTGTGAATGCTGGCAAATGATTGGTTGTTAGGATGCCAGTGGTCCTAGCAACTTATTGTACAATGACAACAAAGCTGTGGGAACCTGCGCTAGAGACCGAGGGAGAAGGGTTGATTTTGGGTGAAAAACAGACTGTAGGCTGACCTGAAGACCTTTGTGGGGGGCTACTGACTCTAGCTGCAGGCTGGAATCCCATAGCAGGCTGGATTTGGTCTGCTAGCCGCAGTTTGAAGATTCTTGCCTTGGTGCATAACCACTAGAGTGAGAATGTTGGGCAGTTTCCAAGTGCTACTTTACCACATTTGGTGGCAGTGTCCCATAGTATCCAGATTTTGGATTCAGAAGTTTAATTTTATCCAGTGACAGGAGTGAATATCCGCAGATCCCCGGAGGCTGCCCTCTTTCAGGAACTTCCTGACGAGGTCCCCAAAAAATCGACGAAACTGATTATGCATATGTTTTTGGTCGCGAGAATTACTATTGCAAAATATTGGAAGCAGTCAGTGGTGCCACTTGAGTATTTCAAAAGTAAACTTAACTGGATTATGGTAACAACAAAACTCCCTCATCCTCTAAAAAATAACACATAAAGAAATTTGATAAAACATGGGATCCATGGATTCTGTAACGGACCGCCTGACAGTACCTCTATCAGTCCCCTGATAGAGCCTTCCCAGAGTGCGGAGTCTAAGTACCGGAGCACTTGTTCACCAGGGCCCCTGATGGTGGGGATGGACTTGGAGCGCTCCGGGGCCAGGTCGCAGCTGCTAGGTATCTCTACCAGAGGTAGAGGAGTCTGCCAAGGGCTCCAGCGGGTTAAGAGTCTGATGTGAGGGAGCCCAGGGATCCCTGAGGGATGGATGGACGGATGAGCAAAGTCAGAGTCAAACAAGCCGGGTCGGTAACTAGCGGGTCGGTGAGGTACAAGACGATAGGCACAGGATAGTCGGGTCACACACAGGGTCATACCAAAAGATCAGATCTATAAGGGAACATCCAGGAGCAGAGTCAGGCAAGCCAAGGGGTCAGGACAGGAGAAGGCAACAAGGTCAGACAATCCAGATCAGAGTACTCACAACACAGGCAACAGGGTACAAAAGACCATTCGGCAACAAGCGTCTGTGCAGGGCTGGTTTAAGTAGCCCGCCCTGCACCTGACAGGCGCCGCCTAGGTCCCAGTGCCTGCCTAGTACTGTCAAGACGACGGGTGCGCCTGGGTCCTAGTGCCCTGCTACCTGCACGTCTTCACAGACGCCTACGCATGTGTAGACCCATGCGTCGCGATGGTCCCTGACAGATTCAATATTTGTCTATTCCTTAGCGAGTCACTGGCTGACCCTCTTTTTCCCAGTCCCCCCCCCCCTTTTTTTTTTTCATCTTTCTTTCCTTTCTTTATACCTGGTACTCTCTTCACCTTTTGGTGACTTATTTACTATTACTTTGCTGTTACTATGGTGCTGCTCTCTAGAATTTGCATGTCGGTTAATCTGCCAACTACAATGACCCCTATTAAAACAAATGTAATACATTAAGAAGTTAACTAACTTTAATGTAGACCAAGTTTGTGTTTACTGATATCTGTTCACCATAGCTATATTTTACAGTGTAGGTCAGAGGGACCTCAGGCATTGAGGCATGAAGTTTGAAGATTTTTTGATTCGCCTCTCTAGGCGCTCTTGATGTATTCTCATTCTTATTGTAATGGCATCCTGAGAACCTCCTATTACTTTTGAGGCATTTTCCACTGTTATATTTCTGATATTTTTCATACGACCATTGAAATATAAAGCCATCAGCTTCCCTGCTCTGTGAAGGGCTCTACCTTTTGGGTGGCTATCTAGAGAGCAGGGGCATAGACCACTTAGCTTTCTGTTTTGCTTTTGGGATGACTAGAGACTGCCAATAGCTGTAATGAGTCTTACCATTGTATTGATGATGGTTAATTATATGTTCCTGTACTTTATTTATGAGGCCCTTTAGGGTCCTACAAATGTTTCTTATTTCTGTATTTTTGGAAACTCTAATAAACAGATTGAAATACAAGTGCTAATTTAAAGTATGTTGGCCATTTCGGAAAGAGTCCTGACTAGGAACTGTCTAAATCTTATGGCCATGTGGTATGAATGTCCATGTTAAGTTGGGAGATTCATACCAGATACACAAGAAGACCATAATTTTGTAGAAATATGCAGAAGGCAGTGTCAGTAGGGAAGCTGAAATATGCAGCCTGAAAAGACCCTCCTCTGAGTTGTGGCCAACAGCAGAGTTATAGGTGGTATTCACAATGATAGTAACACACAACAAACCTAAGATGGTGTACAAAGATCAGTAATGTGCAGTTACCCAGAGCAGTCTTCATGGTTTCCTTTACGTAGGGTAGACTGAAAGTAAAACTAATTTCTGGTAGCTGGGTTTGGCTTACGTCACTTTTTTTTTTTCTCTGCCTTGTTTAACCTTTTTCCTTGCCATGTCCATACAGCGTATGGACCTACAGAACCACTTCCAGCTGGCCAGGTCAGTATGCCCTACTGACATGGCATTCCTACTTCTGCTATAAGTTCATGGTGACTTAAGTGTTTTATGTGTTTTTGGGTAGTATGACCTGTAGTATACACCTGTCAGATTTAGTATACTAAAACTCCTTAGAAATACTACATTGATATTGGTACATATGTTTTCTTCTTTGCAGGTTGATGTTAGAAAGTCTGCCCAGTCTATGATTGACCGCTTGCAGAGGCAGATCATTGTTGCAGACTGCCAGGTTTACTTAGCCGTGCTTTCCTTTGTTAAGCAGGAACTGTCAGGTGAGTGTCCTGAGTAAATGAGATCTACCATTCTCTGTGCTGGCAGAAGTATTAATATATGTGTGTCAGAATTCTGTTTGTTCTCTGGAAAATAGTTAGACTGCCATCATCTGCTCTGTTTGAATATTTTCAAAATGACAGACAACTGACATTAAAAAAGTCTTTCATACACTAAAAGGTTTCATTAAAGGCATATAGATTCAGATGATAAAAAAACTCCATCCGTATTCTCCATATTTTTGACTGTTGGTCAGTGTGAAATTAAAGGCCTGCTATCTGGACTTCCATTCTGTCTGTGCAGGAAGGGTCCTAGCTGGCTCTTTATATGACTCTGGCAGGGAGATCGTGACAAGGGGCGGACTGACCATTTGGAAACTCGGGCACTGCCCGAGGGCCCGGGGTCAGTAGGGGGCCCCATGAGATGCCCCCTGGTACCTTTTTCATAGTCTTTTTTGAGTTTGGGCAAGGACACAGGGACCCCATGACGCCCTATTGCCCGGGGGCCCCATGAGTTGTCAGTCCGCCCCTGATCGCGACTCATCTCTGGCACAACTGTAACAGGGTAAGCTTAGCTTTTCAACTGCGTTTCCAGTGTCGCCAACCTAGGACAACAAAATGGTGCAGCTTCTGATCTCTAGTACAGGGGCGCTCAACCTGTGGTCCATGGACCTCAAACCTGGGACACATATGCCCATACTCTGGAATAGTGGGTCAGCAAGCCTAGATCGTGATTAAAGGGTTCCCAACCTGCCATCCCAGAGCATCAGAAGGCATGGAGCCAGCACCGGCAGTGAAGGAAGCAGGCGGTCACAGAGGGAGCAGGAGCCACATAAGCGGATGCCCCCTCTGTAGGGCCGGCTCTTGTCCCAGGCAGAATTATACCAAGTTTACTTCACCTGGGACCTTTCTAGCAGCCTAGAGCAGTGTTTCTCAACCTTTTTTCAGTCAAGGTACCCTTTAAAGTTATGGACAGTCCCGAGGCACCCTTTAAAAATATATGGAGTTTTGAGTCACCCCATTCTAAAATATGAAAAACTATTCTAATTGTTTTATATAAAGCAGCAACATTCACACATGCAGGACTTCCAACATTAGAGGTGATTTATTCTTCCAAAGCAAATACACGTTTGCACACTGGTACTGACTAGTATTCCAGTGTTTCTCTTCTCCCTCAGTTTTTCTCCATCACAGAGCTAATGTGACCCCAGCATTGCTGGAGAAGGGTGGCGGAGGGTGAAACTAGGATGCTGTGCAGGCAGCTGACATTCTCCTTATCAACTAATGATGTCATTGGTTCTCAGAAAGTCGGCGACTAGAAGGTTGTAATGGTGCAAAATGAAATGTGTGTCTTTGTGTAACTAAAAGGCAGGCTTGATCCACCCACTGGCTTGTATACAAGTTTTGGGCAATTTTTAGACATTTTGCCAAGGCACCTCTGAAGAAACTTCAAGGCACCCTGGTTGTGAAAGGCTGGCCTAGAGAGTGATACCAGGAGAAACTGAAAGAGGAAAAGGTCAGTGATTAAACATCACATATACTACACTTTTGCAATTGGCATAATAGCACATATAAAAAAAAAAAGGTTATTAGGCTACTTTCACACTTATACGCGGGTTCAGGGCAGTGCACCTTGGCTTTTCTGCGGGTTAGCTGCACTGAGCCATAGACTTCCATTATATCCTGCGGGTTAGCTGAGCTATTTGAAAGCACACCAAAACTCCTGAATGCAGGAGTTTTGGTGCACTTTCAGAACGTGCACCACAAACACAAAATGTAATAGACGTCTATGGCAAAGTGCAGCTAATCCCCAGGAAAGCCAAGATGCACTGCGCTGTAACCTCAGTGCAGGTAAACCGCAGCACAACAGTGTGAAAGCATAGGGGGTTCAGGAGAATAAGGCTCAATTACGTTTTTGGATTGGGGGGCTGTAAAACCCCATACTTCATTGTGGCCCACGACTGGTTACCAAAGCACCCCATACTTCATTGTGGCCCAAAACTGGTTACCAAAGCATTTAAATTGCCCTTGCTCCTGAAAAGGTTGATAACACCTGCTCTAGTAGTATTCTCTATTGGAATATGAAGAAATCATTTTGGACTGGTGACCACTAAAATGGGTTGAAAAGCTGTGATGACTTGTGTTCACTGGTATTACAAGCTCAGTCTACTCAAAAGAAAAAATGTATTTTGTATGTTTTGTTGGCCACTTAATAAAGAATTCCAAAGTGCAACAATTCACAACAAGATTCTACTGCAGGTGTGTAATTTTGTTGATTTCTTCTTGGTGGGTGTATGTAAATTTACTAGCTGCAGATCACAGCCACATTACTAAGTAGAGTTGTCATTTTTAAGTCTGTAAATTCATAGCAACCATTAAGAATCCTTCATTAAAGTGCTTGTAAACCTCAGACATGGAATATAAAAAAGCACTAAGTGTCATTTTTGTTTGTTGCCTCGTCCCTCTGCTATAAGCATGAGTCCTTCTGATGAGATTTCCTGACACCAAGAGGAAAATGGTGACAGGGGAGGGACCTCCAGCAGATTGACAGCTTCAGCTCTGTTCCTGTGTGCTGTGTGAAGGGGGTGTGTCCCTTCCCTCCAATCAGCTCTCACAGCTCTCCTCATTGATGTAACTTCAGCTCTCCGCCCCCTGCTTTTCAGAACTGAGAGATCCTGTGTAAATTCTACATTTTGATTAGATATAGGGGAAATACGGCTGTTGATAAACAGGTACAACTTATGCAGGATGATTTGTTTCATCTCTTGTGTATCACCTGTGGCCAGGCACTTCACTGGGTATATGTGAGTGTTTAGAATCACTTTAAGTCATCTTATTTCAACAGAATGAATTCTGATTGGTTGCTATGGTTTATTCACGCTTGAGTGTTTTATTGTACAGTTCCCGAAAGACAACAATGCACAAGAGAAAAATAAACCTTTGTTTTCAATAGGCCTGTTCACACTTGAGCATTGTCGCCTGTTGTCTGAATGTGAATTCACTCTGTGGGGTTGTTTTACTAAAACTGGAGAGTGCAAAATCTGGTGCAGCTGTGTATGGTAGCCAGTCAGAATCTCACTTAAGCTTTGACAAACCTGGAAGCTGATTTGTTTCTATGCAGAGCGACACCAGATTTTACACTCTCCAGCCTTTTTCCTGCATTGTAAAGCATCTGTCATTGCAGGGACACACAGCAAATAATTGTTACCTATATATCCCATTCACATGGCTACGCTAAAATACAGACATGCTGCATTTTATTGCATCTCACCGTACAGATCCGCACAACCATGTACATCAACGCAGCTCATCGAGCTGCTGTACGTTGTCGTAAATGAAGTGTACATTTTGGACACGGCAAATAAAGTTTGTATTGCTCAAGTTTGTGAATTGCTCCAGCAGCTCTCTGTTTGCAGTGAGAATTCACCTTTAGCCTGCGTTCACGCTGATGCAGTGCGGCACATTGCATGTGATTTGCATCACATCCCTTTGCAAATCACATGCAAATTCTGTGTGGTGCGATTTTATCCATACATATACAAATCTCACCGCATCTGCACCAAAAAAGGTGCAGGGCCCTTTTTTTGGTCCGCACTAGAAACAAATCGCATGGGTGTTGCAATCCGATTCTGCACATTGCACCGCGTTTTGCGAACTGATTTCGGGGTGTTGTTAATTTAACCAGTTCCCAACTGCGCTATAGCCGAAGGATGGCTACAGCACAGTTGTGGAATCCTGGGACGATGTCCATGGACGTCATTGCAGAACCCACCCCCCTGCGCACCCCAGCAGCGCGCACACGTGCCGCTTGTGATCGCTGTGTAAACACTGCTGATCACGGGTAATGTAAACGGCAGCCTTTTACCACGTGATCAGCTGTGTCCAATGACACAGCGATCACCGGGTGAATACAGTTGCCGGTTCTCGGCTGCACTTTCCTCACGCTGTCATAGTGTGAGAAAAGTACTGCCGAGAACTGGTAGCTGTCAGCAAAGGGATCGGCACTGATCATCAGGGCACTGCTGATCAGTGCCCAGCAGTGCCGCCTGCCTGTGCCACCCACCTGTTCCCAGCAGTGCTGCTTACCTGTGCCCATCAGTGCCACCCACTTGTGCCATCAGTGCCACCCACCTGTGCCCATCAGTGCCACCTACATGTCCTGCAGTACCACCCACCTGTGCCTAGCAGTGCCACCCACCTGTGCCCATCAGTGCCGCCTAGCAGTGCCACCCACCAGTGCCAATCTGTGCCATCAGTTTTCTGTAGTAACATAAACATAACGATTTCTCATTGGTTGCTTGTATGGTAATGAATTTTTCACTTTGCTACTTTCCAGGTCATTAAAATATATTGTGATTGGTTGGTGCAGGTTAGAGCACTTTTCTCTATTGCAGCATCCGCATAGACCAGGAAATGCATGTTCATAAACACGCTGAAAAAATGCCAATCATTTTATCAAGTGCCGTGTGAAAGTCTAATTATATAAGTTGATTAAAGCCTGCCGAGGGATGGTGTCACCATAACGGAAAAGATGGTGTGACGTTAGAGCCTTGACAACTGAATTTTGTACCTCCTTAGAAAATTGTGAATTCCCACTTGTTTTTAATTTTTAATAAGATAAGAGAAGCCGTTTTTTGTATGGCTGCTCTTTCAGCATATAAAAGGAGGTTAGCAGTTCACCATTCATATACGCAAATACAATGGAGCTGCTGCAGTCCTAAAGTCTTTTACAAAAGACAGCGCCTGAGGTTTAATGAATTAATTATAAGCGATGCACTTTAGAGCATTATGATGCCAGCATTGAGCTGTTTAGAAGCTATTTGCATTGCAATTTAATATAAATATTCATCAGGAAATAAAAAAACCTGCTGGATTTTAAATCTATACACTGTATAAGGTAAATTGTCAATCTTCTGATTTGTCTTGACCATGTACAGTGGATATAAAAAGTCTACACCCCCCTGTAAAAATGTCAGGTTTCTGTGAAAAAACTAGACAAAGATTAATTATTTCACAACTTTTTCCACCTTTTTAATGTGACCTATAAACTGTACAACTCAATTGAAAAACAACTTAAAATCTTCTAGGGGGGAGTAAACATAACAAACTAAAATAATGTGTTTGCATAAGTGTGCACACCCTCTTATAACTGTGGATGTAGCTGTGTTCAGAAGTAAGCAATCACGTTCAAAATCATGTTAAATAGGAGTCAATACACACCTGCCCTCATTTTAAAGTGCCTCTGATTAACCCCAATGAAGTTCATCTGCTCTAGTAGGTCTTTCCTGACATTTTCTTTGTCGCATCCTACAGAAAAAGCCAGAGAGCTAACAAAGCATCAGAGGGATCTCATTGTTAAAAGGTATCAGTCAGGTGAAGGGTACAAAAGAATTTCCAGAGCATTAGATATACCATGGAACACAGTGAAGACAGTCATCATCAAGTGGAGAAAATATGACACAACAGTGACATTACCAAGAACTGGATGTCCCTCCAAAATTGGTGAAAAGATGAGAAGAAAACTGGTCTGGGAGGCTGCCAAGAGGCCTACAGCAACATTAAAGGAGCTGCAGGAATATCTGGCAAATACTGTCTGTGTGGTACATGTGACAACAATCTTCCATATTCTTCATATGTCTGGGCTATGGGGTAGAGTGGCAAGACGGAATACTTTTCTTATGAAGAAAAACATCCAAGCCCGGCTAAATTTTGCAAAAACACATCTGAAGTCTCCCAAAAGCATGTGGGAAAATGTGTTATGGTCTTATGAAACCAAGGTTGAACTTTTTGGCCATAATACCAAAAGATATGTTTGGTGCAAAAACAACACTGCACATCACCAAAAGAACACCATACCCACAGTGAAGCATGGTGGTGGCAGAATCGTGCTTTGGGGCTGATTTTCTTCAGCTGGAACTGGGGCCTTAGCCAAGGTAGAGGGAATTATGAACAGTTCCAAATACCAGTCAATATTGGCACAAAACCTTCAGGCTTCTGCTAGAAAGCTGAACATGAATAGGAACTTTCAACATGACAACGACCCAAAGCATACGTTCAAATCAACAAAGCAATGGCTTCACCAGAAGAAGATTCAAGTTTTGGAATGGCTCAGCCAGAGCCCAGACCTGAATCCGATCAAAAATATGTGGGGTGATCTGAAGAGGGCTGTGCACAAGAGATGTCCTCCCAATCTGACAGATCTGGAGTGTTTTTGCAAGGAAGAGTGGGCAAATATTGCCAAGTCAAGATGTGCCATGCTGATAGACTCATATCCAAAAAGACTAAGTGCTGTAATAAAATCAAAAGGTGCTTCAACAAAGTATTAGTTTAGGGTGTGCACACTTATGCAACCATATTATTTTAGTTTTTTTATTTTTACTTCTGTCCACCTAAAAGATTTTAGTTTGTTGTTTAACTGAGTTGTACAGTTTATAGGTTACATTGAAGGTGGAAGAAGTTCTGAAATGATTTATCTTTGTCTCCTTTTGTTACATCACAGAAACCTGACATTTTAACAGGGGTGTGTAGACTTTTTATATCTGTATACTACTTGTATGTGCATTGCGTGCTATCGTGTCCTCTTCATTTGCTTGCTGAGGCAAAGTATTGTATATTCCATCGGCTCTTATAAGGCATTTGGGGGGTAGTCATTTTGTAAGCAGATTTAATAGGCCTGAGGTAAATCTCACTGCTCTATAGAAGTAAGTGGTATATTTTGATGACTGAATATTTACAACATAGGTGTAGCAAAGCATTGATATTGTTACTTTATGCTCATTTCAATCATACTAAAAAAAATGTTGTATTAAAAAAAAAGGGAGGGTCTAGAAGCATAAAGGTGGTTGCAGAGGTCCAGTCTCTGAGAAACTGTCATATCGGTGATGGCAGAGTCACTCTGCCTTCATAAGAAATCTAAATGCATGACTTCCAGGGTATAGAAATCTCCTTTCTGCCCTTACCTGCCATGAAGTCCAATTTCTCCTGCAAGAGTGTCAATCCTTAAAGCGGTTCTAAAGTCTGGACATTTTTACTTTAATGCATTCCTTGTATGTCTCAGTGTTTGTATCACCCCCTTTATACTTACTCGAGTCCTATCTCAATCCAGTGCTGTGTCCGTCTGCAGCAGCTCTCTCCACTGTGCTCACAGAGACATTAGGTCCTGCTGCTGCCATTCAAACTCTGTGAGCAGGGAACGGGGGCAGGGCTCTGCCCCACTGTGTATGTCAATGGACACACACAGCCTGGCTTGGGATCAGACCCATAAGAAGCGTCTTGCTATGGGGAAAAAAATGAGGAGGAGCCAAGAGCGCTGGTGAGGCCCCAAGAAGAGGAGGTTTGGGGCCACTCTGTGCAAAACCATTGCATAGAGCAGGTAAGTATAACAAAAACAAAATTACCTTTACAGACACTTTTGAAGCTGCATTCTTCAAAAATATTAGAATGCGTCAAAAAATTATGTAAAAACATTGAGACTCTTAACAATTGGTAGGTGGATCTCTGGTGCTGAAATATATGAGAATACAGAGAACTTGCAGTCTTTCTGTTGCTGAAATATGGGTGGGCAGACGGTCTATTAAAACTTCTGCCAGCATTTTAGGGCTCATTAATACAGGAGTCTAAAATGCACTATAGGAATCAGGGGGACCATACACAAACTGCATCTACAAATGAAAATGTGTGTGGTACGCATCTAAAGGCATCCAAAGGCAACTAATTTAGATGCGTATTTTAAACAGGATCTTCTGCTAGATCTGTCAGCAAGAACCTGCGTTCCATGCAGAAAATACACATATGCTTGTATGAATAAGCGCTTATTGGTAAACATGTCTTCATTTGGGATACTTCTTGTTTGTTTAAAGGGTGTCGTTACTAGTAGTCAGGGGAAATCTCCCCACCTGTCTATTTGATGGGTGTCTATGAAAGAAGGAATTGAGAAAGAATCCCCAAACGGGGATAGCAGAAATACACATTTTCAAGGAAGCCGCACGTAGTAGTCACGAGGCAAATGCTTTTACACTAGAAATCTGCATTCTAGTTCATTGTATAAGCAACTTCGCCCATTTTCACTTCCTCAGATTTTTGTCTTCAATAAGTATAATTAGCCATTCTGCCTATGCTGATGTTCTCTTTTCTATTGTCTTTTTGCTTCATTCCAGCGTACATTAAAGGTGGTTGGATCCTGCGCAAAGCATGGAAAATTTACCACAAATGCTATATGGACATTAACTCCCTTCAGGAAATGTGTCAGAAGAAGCTGTCTCAGGAATCCTCGCCCTCTGATGCCGCTAATGATAACCACATTGCTGCTGAGGGGGTCACGGAGGAGGCTCTGAACAGACTGAAAGGTGCTGTGAGCTTTGGCTATGGACTTTTTCACCTTTGCATATCCATGGTGCCCCCAAACCTGCTCAAAATCATCAACTTGCTGGGTTTTCCAGGAGATCGTCTGCAGGGGCTCTCTTCACTGATGTATGCAAGTGAAAGTAAGGACATGAAGGCCCCTTTAGCTACGTGAGTAGCTATATTGCAATGCTTCGGTAGTTGGTATAGTGTTTACAGTAAGTAACCAGTATATAGAAAGGGAAGCAAGGAACGTATACAGATAAAATAGCTCTGTTGTTTCTTACTGCTTGGATTCATGAAGTGAGGACAAACGCAAGGTCCACGTGGCAGCAAGTGGCCCTCCTATGTTTGCTTTGTTCCCAAATCTGGCTTCTGGTACACTACAATGATGTGATCAGGAGTAATTCCTCCTGGTAGTCCCAGCAAGCAGTGGGTGAAATATACAAAGTTCTACTTCACTTTTTGGACTTGTCATGCAGTATATATAGACATTAAATGACTTGTTTTATGGTTTGTGTAGACTGTTGTGCTAGCCTTTTGGTCAGCTGCAGCCAACTGATATATTTTGACCATATATTTTATTACACATTAAGGGGCAGTTCCAAAAAAAGATGAAAGCCCCCTAGATAATTTATGCAATCCTCTTGACACCACGGGGTTTATTTACTAAAGCTGGAGAGTGCGAAGTCAGACTCCCTTCTGCATAGAAACCAATCAGCTTCCAGGTTTCATTGCCAAAGCTTCATTGAACAAGCTGAGGTTAGAAGCTGATTGGTTTCTATGCAGAAGGGAGTCTGATTTTGCACTCTTCAGCTTTAGTAAATAAACCCCCACTTGTCTTTAGAAAGTGTTCAGAGCTGAGACAAGTGACCATTATCAAGCGGCTGTCTCCTTCCTAGCTATGTTGTCGGACAACTGTGGGGGAAGGGTGCCCAGCCTGACGTCATAGCTGGGCCTTCTTTGACCTCTAAAACTGATGTTCATTAAAGTGAAAGGCAAGTCAAAACCTAACTAAGCTTAAATCTGCTCCAACCCCCATTCTAAGCCTATTTGATCTACCCTATAAAAGGAAAGATGTCTATACTTACCTACTCTGAAGTCGCTCCGCTCTGCTCACATGACCTCTCCAGCGCTGGCTTCAGTGTAGAGGAGAGATCACTGACAACTGCTATGGCGGTGACATCATCCATAGACTTACTATGTGGCATCGGTTTTTGACAGTCCCTCCATTACACTGAAGCTGGCCCCGGGAGCCCATAATGTGATTGGACCAGAACAACTTCAGAATTTGTAAGTATAGGCCTCTTTCCTAATGCAGGGTAGATAGAGTAGACTTAGAATTGGAATGGAAGTAGATTTAAGCTTAGTTAGGTTTTGACTTGCCTTCCATTTTAAATTAAAAGCCGTGATCTTACATTCCTTTTGTATTGCTTGTTTGTGTATTAGAAAATGAAGCTTATTTCCTCAATATAATGATATACTAATATGCTGAGTGCCAGCATTTTTTGGAATGGAATCTGCAAAGATGTGTAATTAAAAGTGGCATAATAAGTGGCTTCACAATGATCTGATTTTTTTCAATTTTTATGAAAATCCCCTTATGAATGCTAAAATCATGGGGAAAATATATTGGTGTGCAGTGTGCTTTTTCAGACGCTTTAATGCATGCATGTTATATTCAGTAGTGTATAGGTTTTGCAGAACAAATTCTTTCATACGCTGTGAAAATAACATTTTTAAAGAAATGAAGACACTTTTATTTTACTTGTAACTAATGTTTATTGCTGTATTTGTAATTGATCTTAAATGCAGTCAGGTCTAAACAGTGCATATCATTGTTCGTGTCTCAAAATGTTTTCTATCCATCCATACTTTGATTTTGAATATTTCCATTTAACTTTATTTGGATGAAGGGAACATTGACCATCTTCTGTCCACTGCCAGCTGAGTTTAAGGTCTTTTACCTATTATTGAGGAAAACTTGAGGATTGAGAGAGAGTTAGCTTAACAGTCAAAATGTATTTCAGATATATTGAATTGAAATGTTTTTTTGATTTTCAGGTCTTTAAAGAGCTGAAATGATAGACATCAGTAGGCTTGAATTAAATCTTTATTAGATTTTCACTAACAGAGTATGCTTCTGTGATTCTAGCGTTGAGTATAATAGTTTATATCGTTTAGCTTTTATAGTTGTGATTTGCTCCCATATTAACATCTGTTCTCACATCTTCATTTGAATGTTCCCCTGCTGTGTCTAGAACTTGCATAACTACAACATGTAGCAATGTTCTCCTCTTACTGCAGACTAGCTTTGCTGTGGTACCACACTGTAGTTCGCCCATTCTTTGCACTGGATGGAAGTGACAATCAAGCAGGACTAAAAGAAGCAAAAGAGATTCTACACAAGAAGGAATCTGCATACCCCAACTCCTCATTATTCATGTTCTTCAAGGGAAGAATACAGAGACTAGAGGTACTCTCATATAAATTGTGTGTGTGTATGTATGTGTGTGTGTATGTATGTGTGTGTGTGTGTATGTGTGTATATATATATATATATATATATATATATATATATATTCTATATTCTGTTCTTAACAACCAGATTCCATGTGTTATGTTCCAATCTAGTTTGGAGAATAGAAAGTGAGTAGTTGTCATTAGTGGGGGGGGGGGGGGCTTGTTTTTTTAACTTGCCTTTTGCTTCATAGATGAACATCTGTATCTTCTACAGGGGTTAGACAAAAAATGGAAACTGCTGCAAAAGTGACTGTAGAGCTCAGTCTTCACAGGACTGAGATTCAGCTCTGCAGTCACTTTTGCAGCAGTTGTTTTCTTATATCAGGTCACAATCCAGCATAATTTTTGTCTCTTTTGGTCAGCTGACCATGTCGACCGCGCTTATGTCTATCAGATGACGTTTTCCCAGAAACTGTATATGCCGCCATAACCTTTGATACTGTACCTCACGACACAGCAAATAAATTGGCAACTGAAGTCAGAGGCACCAGCTAAGCGGGCACCAACAATTTGCCCTTTCTAAAGCTCAGTAAGCTCTGACATAACTATTACTAGCAGTGCATGCAGTGAATGATGAAAGTGAGGCCTCCTACCTGTTAGCTGGGTGTCTCATCACACAGTGGAATCAAAAGTATGTTACATCAACGCAAAAACATGGTCACTTCACACCTGCAAATCATGTAGTTTCAATTTTTTTGTCTAACACTGTACTTCTTCTGAGGTCTACAAACCAAACCTTTTTATAGTTGAAACACTAGCTCCTACATTTGCCCCACATGTCAGCCATGGATGACTTTATGCAGCATACGGTGTCTGCAAAAGAGATGGAGATTCGAGAAATGGGGGTGGGGTTTACAAGTTACCATTCATAGTGTTTTTATCCCAGCCAGGGATTTATAAAGAAGGTTTATATATCACTATTCTGAACCAGTAATGTGAGTAGTGCATCAGCTATTTTTTTTATTCATATTTTGGATTCTATGGACATAGATTCCAATTTCCCGTTACAGCATGTCAGGCTATTAGTTGAATATCACAATATGAATGAAATGATCACTGTTATTTAGAGCATATGTAAACCCAATCATTAAAACACACAGGCACGTTAACATGTAATTTCAAACATAAATTTTAGTTTTTAAATGTGCTGTTTCATATAAAAAAGTACCTATTGATTCTACAGTCAATGTCATACTTCAGGCACGTTCTGATATAGGGTGACAACACTCTGTGTCTTTCCCCAAGTTGAGCTTCTACATAGTCACCTGGTCAAAAGGACTTTGTTTAAACATATATTATGTAGCAATGTACATGCATTTAGACAGGAAGTAGCTGCAAGAGACTTCAGGAGATCAGTAGTGCTGACAGGTTATGAACATTATTATTATTACAGGATTTATATAGCGCCAACAGTTTGCTCAGCACTTTACAATATAAAGGGAGACAATACAGCAACAATACAGTTCAATACAAGAGGGTTAGGAGGGCCCTGATCCTGGGAGTTTACAATCTAAGAGAATAAATTACAAATAATATTGTGAGAAGTTGTAAAGCCCCACTCCTGGCAAAATCTTTAATCTGTAGCTAGATATATACCATGTAATAAAAAGTTAACAGATACCCCCCCCCCCCCAAAAAAAAAACAAACAAAACAAAACCCAAAACATTTATATCTACAGCAAAGAAGCAGGTAGAATTTTTCCTTCAGTTTCCCATTGGAGTTAATAGGTAGGGAGCTTTGGGCAATTATTGTGCCAGGTTGATGCCATAGATGAGCATTAACTCTTTTCCACTGTACTAAAAAGGTATTTTTGTTTTTACCCTGTGTCCCTTTTGGAGATAATTTTTTCTTGACTTCCTGTTTTAACAGGGAATTCACACCAATAGGACATACAGTAATAAAAAACATTCAGAAGCACTAACCCCCCACTGCTGTTCTTAAAACAAAATAAAATGTTTTGCCTGGTGTTTGATTTAGTAGCATCTGTATATTTAGTCAATAGATTTTTAATCGGATGATTGAAATCCGTAAGTACTGATCACTCGCCTATCTGTATATTGGACCATCTTCTGACCACATATACACCAATCAGCCATAACATTATGACCACCCACCATAACCTGTTGAGGCATGGACTCAACTAGACCTCTGAAAGTATGCTGTGGTATCTGGCGCCTAGCTCAATATCACATTCTTTAAGTCCTGTAAGTTGTGAGGTAGGGCTTCCATGGATCAAACTTTTTTTTCACGCTCATCCCACAATTGATTGAGATCTGGAGAATTTGGAGGCCAAGTCAACATCTCCAACTCCTGTTCCTCAAAGCATTCTTGAATTCACCAAACCAGGCTACCTTCTTATGATGCTTGGTAGTCCAGTTCTGATGCTCACATACACTATGTAGGCACATTTGGCTGTGGACATGAGGCAGCGTGGGTGCCTTGACCGGTCTGTGGCTATGCAAGCCATAAGCAACAAATTGCGATGTACTGTGTGTTTTGACACCTTTATATTGAAACTAACATTAGCTTTTTCAGTATTTTGTGTCAAAGTAGCTCTTCTATTGGATTGGCCTACACAGGCTAGCCTTCTCTCCCCACGCACATTAGTGAACTATAGCCGCTCATGACCATGTTGCTGGACCACTTTTGGTACATCCACTGACCACTGCAGACCAGGAACATCCCCCAAGAGCTGCAAATATGGAGATGTTCTCACCCAGTTGTCTAGCCATTACAGTGTTGCCTATTTTTTCTGCTTTCAACACATCAGCTTTATGGAGAACATGCTCACTTGCTGCCTGATATATCCCACCCACGTTCCGGTGCCATTCTCATGTGATTATGTTATTCACTTTACCTGTCAGTGGTCATAATGGTATGACTAGTCGGTGTAAGTGTCTTATCTTCTGCGGACCTGCAAAGATCCCATTGTTGGGATCTTCTCCATGTTGCTAAATGTTCTTTTAAGCCTTTCACTTTAATAGATCAGCAAGATCTGCCTGTATCTTCAGAGCACATTGCTCTGTTTGTTGATAGCTTTCAGATGACTTATAAAGCCAAGTAATCACAAATTTATAGAGAACAGCACCCTTCTGTCTTGTGACTCAGATAGCTTTTACTTTGTCAAAATTGTATGAGTCAGATAAGAAGCACTTAGATCCTTATGCCTGTGTTAGCAGGGAAAATTTGCACTTCGCTTGAAATGATTAAATATAAGGTTTTAAAGACACTTTGGTACAGTAGATGTGGGTGTTTATATAGAACATAATGAAGCACAGTTTGTGCCCCAGACAAGTTGCTTCTTTTCATTTGCACGTATAATTATTCCACTTGGTCGCACGTGCGAACCAAAACACATGAGCAATAAAACTAATGAGATGGTTGTTGGTTGTTGACAGCTTCTTGCAAGCATGTTTATACTGGGTCCTTCATATATCTGTGTATAAGCTTTGTGATTAATTCTGCAGTATTTAAGAAGTATCCCAGGGTTTTAAGTGGGGTTGGTGAGAGAAGTAGTGGTATATATGTGACTCACCTACATGTTCTAAGTCAAATTTTGTAGGCAGAGGTGTAGTTATACCCGAGATTGACAAGATAATTGCAGGTCCTTCTCACTCTTCACCCTTTACCTTTTTTATAATGCTATTTGAATGGCTTTTGATCCAAAGGTTTTAATGCTGATCTAGAATATGTATAGATATTCGGAGTCCTGATTTTACTATGAATCTGAAAACTAGCTGCATTTTTTGGCATTGACTCAATATAATAAGAACAGAGACAAATATTTTCAAGAGTTTAATAAAGTCCTCTCAGTAAATTTTCAGTAGATCCTGGGTTCAATTTTAACCAATACTCTCCACACTAAATATTTTTATGGCTATCTGAAGGTATGGGTATTTTATATACATTTAGTTTATTCAAAATGACCAACAAGTTGCCAGAAATGCTAGCTTCCCTGCAGTTTCTGTGTCCTAAAGCAATCGCATAGTCTGCCATGGCTTTAGTTAAACGCATTGACACCTTGCAAAGTGCCATTGTCTTTGCGAATTGTCCCTCCAACAAACTGATACTCGCCTTTCCTTGCTTTCACTTCTGTTTTCTCCATAATCCTCAACTGGTGACAAAACCATGTGCTTCATGGCACAGTCCTGGAATCTAGCACCTAGTTGTTGGCTCGAGTACTGTTACATGACAGAACCAGAGATATCAGAGGTCCCTCTAGCGTCCCACTTTGGGAATTTTGATGCAGGCTGTGACAGAGGAATGAGTGGTGGGGAGTGCTGGCATGATGAGTATTAGTGGGTTGGGGATGGGCCCTTTTGCCCTTAGTGGGCAATGTGATGGTTTCTCATTAAGCCATTGTTTATGGAGTGATTGTCTCATGGTGACCACGTCATCCCCCACTTCTCCTTTTAAACTTCTTAAAGGTAATTTGCAAACAAAATTGGGTCAGTTATTCATTGCATTCAGCCAGATTATCTACAGTATATATTTAGTAAACAAAACCTGATTGGTTGACCTGCACGCCTGATAAGTATTTCTGCTAGCTCTCCTTTCATCCATTTTTTTGAGTAGTACCTCTAAAATTTCCTCCTAGACTTTCAGGGCAGTTTTATGTTTGATAGGGAAAGGAACTTCCATAAAAGCTTTAGATTTATATGTATGCTCCATCCGTTACCACCCAAAACATTTGCTTAGAGTTCTCTTTTAATACCGGTTGTATTGAATAATTAGGGGAACAAAAGGCTTCCCTGTTCATTAATGCCTAAAAGAGAAGCATCCCAGTGGTATGGTGGCCTGTCCCTTTCTCAGCATAGAGATATATAGCAATCTGGAAGAAACTTGCCGAAGAAACTGGGATTTCTCAGGGACCTAAATTATTCTGTGTTGATACTGTTAAGATGCAAACAATATTCAAATTACTTTTTACTTTTTTTTTTTCTCAATTACAGTGTCAAATAAACAGTGCCTTGTCCTCCTTTCATACTGCCCTGGAGCTTGCGACAGATCAAAGAGAGATACAGCATGTGTGTCTGTATGAAATTGGTAAGTGTTACAAGTTTCTTTGCCTCTCGATATAGCATAAGAAGGAATACAGTTGCAAGAAAAAGTATGTGAACCCCTTGGGATTACGAGGAGTTTTTTGCATGAATTGGGCATAAAAATGTGCTCTGAACGTCATCTAAGTCACAACAATAGAAGAACACAGTCTGCTGAACATAATACTACACAAACATTAGATGTTGCCATGGTTTAATTGCACATAACATGTAAACATTCACAGTGCAGGGAGGAAAAAGTATGTGAGGCCCTTGTTTAATGACTTCTCCCAGAGCTAATTGGAGCCAGGAGTGAGCCAACTTGACTCCAATCAGTGTGATGATATTGGATGTGTTGCTGACAGCTGACCTGACCCTTTTAAAAAACACACACCTGTTTTGGGTTTACTGGTTTCAAGAAGCACTGTCTGATGTGAACCATGCCTCGCAGAAAAGAGCTCTCAGAAGACCTAAGATCAAGAGTTGTTGACTTGCATGAAGCTGGAAAGGGTTACAAAAGTATCTTCAAAAGCCTTGATGTTCATGTGTCCACGGTAAGACAGACTGTCTACAAATGGAGAAAGTTTAGCACTGTTGCTACTATCCCTAGGCGTGGTCGTCCTGTAAAAATGACTGCAAGAGCACAGCGCAGAATGCTGCATGAGGTAAAGAAGAATCCCAGAGTGTCAGCTAAAGACCTACAGAAATCTCTGGCACATGCTAACATTTTTCTTGACACATCTACAATAAGGAAAACATTAAACAAGAATGGAGTACATGGGAGGATACCACGGAGGAAGCCATTGCTGTCCAAAAAGAATATTGCAGCACGTTTGAAGTTTGCAAAAGAGCACCTGGATGTTCCACAGCACTACTGGCAAAATATTACTGTGGACAGATGAAACCAAGATTGAGTTGTTTGGGAAGAACACACAACACTATGTGTGGAGAAAAAAGGCACAGCACACCAACATCAAAACCTCATCCCCACTGTAAAACATGGCGGAGGGAGCATCATGGTTTGTGGCTGCTTTGCTGCCTCAGGGCCTGGACGGATTGTTGCCATTGATGGGAAAATGAATTCCAGAGTTTATCAAGACATTTTGCAGGAAAACGTACGACCATCTGTCCGCCAACTGAAGCTCCGCAGAGGATGGGTGATGCAACAGGACAATGACCCAAAGCATACAAGTAATTCAACAAAACAATGGCTGCAACAGCACAGAATACGCCTTCTGGAGTGGCCCAGTCAGAGTCCTGGCCTCAACCCGACTGAAATGCTGTGGCATGACCTTAAGAGAGCGATTCACACCAGACATCCCAAGAATATTGCTACACTGAAACAGTTTTGTGAAGAGGAGTGGTCCAAAATTACTCCAGATCGTTGTGCAGGTCTGATCTGCAACTACAGGAAACGTTTTGGTTGAGGTTATTGCTGCCAAAGGAGGGTCAACCAGTTATTAAGTCCAAAGGTTCACATACTTTTTCCTCCTGCACTGTGAATGTTTACATGTTATGTGCAATTAAACCATGGCAACATCTAATGTTTGTGTAGTATTATGTTCAGCAGACTGTGTTCTTCTATTGTTGTGACTTAGATGACGTTCAGAGCACATTTTATGCCCAATTTCATGCAAAACTCCACATAATCCCAAGGGGTTCACATACTTTTTCTTGCAACTGTATGTCCAAACTAGTCCATTCATATTTAATCCCATGTATGGTACAGTATGTCATGGTGTGTTGTCTTGCATTGTCCAAGACATCTTGGAGAAAAAAATATGAAGAATCACAGAACTTAACAAATGCATGAAACGCCATCTGACACAGGTGAATTTTCATGTCTGATCTGAAGGGAAGTTCAGATATTAATGAAGTGTCGTATAGAATACACCCAGTGCTTAGGATGGGATTATCGTATATGTGAATTAGGATTTTCTCAATAACCCATTTCCCCAGGTGACTTCACACATACTCAAGACTTTGCTTACAACTTGAGGTATAATGCATAACATTAAAAGATTATTAGTACAGAGGTCATATGGTAAGTCCTTAATAAACTGATATCCTAGCTGTCAGCCAGTAGATATATCAGGTGTTGTCTCGAGGATACATCTTTGAAGAACTCAAGAAGTGAAGATATACTATGTTATAGGGAACATTTAGAAATGTTAATTGTGACTAAACCATGTCCTAAAAAAAATCTACATGTCTTGAATTTTTGCTAAAAATAGTAGTGCACTTGTGTGAGGGTTTGTGAGGGTGCCTGGGCACTCCTCTGCCTACTGCCTCATTTATGCAGTATAGGATCTAAGTAACTGCTGCTAGTGACTGCTAGTCTCCGTTGATTTGGAGTGAGATTTGGTGATTTCACTATTTTGATGCTCATTGGCTTGACCTGCTCTAACAAAATGGACACCTCCACACAGATGGTGCAGTGAGTTGGTAATTTCAGAATGATCAGGTGCAGGGAGACCACGGTAAACTTTTCTTCTACTTTAATTGCCACTGTAATCAGCAAACTCTAGTACACTGGTTGTGACTGGCACCCAAGTCACCCCTAGCTTCCTCTTCTCTCTTCCACCATGGCTCTGTGTGTATGAATGGGGAGAGCTGGCTGCTGATTGCCATGTAATTACAATGGCTGGTTGAGTGATGGCTAACGCAACTTGCATATCTAGACCCTGGTAATATGTGGTCTATTGGTGCACCATACAGAATTATAAGGAAGTGTCTTTATCTGGCAAATCCTACCCATGCACCTTGGATGCCCAGGACCACAATCCTTGACATTTCAGAAGTGCACTGTACTGGATTATAAGGAAATGCATTTACTGGAAATACTTTTTAACTGGCCAAATCTCCTATGCACCTTTGATATCCAGACTCACCTACCTTGGCATTCCATGGGTGCCTTATGCAGGAATGTAAGACTCTTTAGCTCAGGGGGTCTCCAAACTTTTGAAACAAAGTGCCAGTTTACTGCCTTTCAAATATTGGGGGGGGGGGGGGGTCGGACTGTGGCCATAGGGAGTAGAAAATATCCAGGCAGTGGTGGGAGTAAATAATGCTTGGTGGTCAGCGGGAGTTAAAAAAATAAGTTATTGGTGTCAGTGGAAGGAATAGCATCCTGTCATTGGTGTCAGTTGGAGGAAAGTGGGCCCCATAATTGGTGTCGGTGGAAGAATTAGATAGATAGATAGATAGATAGATAGATAGATAGATAGATAGATAGATAGATAAGGCAAACAAAGGGCCACATCTGGTCTGCAGTTTGGAGACCCCTGCTTTAGCTGACCAAACCTCCTATGCGTGGACTGGAAAACAACTAGTAGAATGCCTGACATATTTTGATGGTATCATTATATGCTGTTTACTATCATATTACTATGATTTAGGGCAAAAAATTATGCTGGGTGGAACCATAAAGAGGGGACTGGAAAATTTAAATATGGAGCTTTGATACCTTGTCATATTTTGCCGATTTAGAATTATGCATGCAAACTTCTGCTAGGAAGCTTAAACCACCAATTTTTTTAGTTTGCCAAAATATTATAGCTACATGAATAAAAAGCTTTTTAATGTGTTTTGCTGTCCTAAACAGTTAACCTTTTCACATCTGATCAGTTTCTATGTTCTCTGTTTGCTGGAATAAACCTGTCTACGGCCAGATTTGCAGCAGTCAGGATGGTATAGTCTTCTGTAGAAGTAAGCCGTAATACACTGTGCCCGCAGTGCAGTCTTTTGATCCATCTATGTGCAGTAGAGCTCTGCCCTCTGTACTGGTAATCATGTGTGATGTTATTAAGACACCTAGTGGCAGGAAATGATTCCTTTTCACTTTTTTTCTTTTAGGCTGGTGCAGTATGATAGAAATGAGTTTTAAGGATGCCTTCCGATCTTTTGAAAGACTTAAAAATGAATCTAGGTGGTCCCAGTGTTACTATGCCTATCTCACGGCAGGTAGGTATTCCGCTCACATTTCTAGTTTTTAAATTTTGTATACTTTGAAGGGGGGAACATCGCTAAGGGCAACAGGACACATCTTTCTTCATACACTTTGACTTTTTGTCTCTATATAAGGACAGGTTACAATTTCAGTTAAAGTAACTAGTGGACACTAAGAATACAGTTTATGTTTTTGATGCGGGACATTAAAGAACTCCAGGAAATACTATTTTAAATGTGCTGGCATGCAATGGTTTAAGTCCAGTGAGGTGTACGCCTTGTCATGGACTTATCTTTTATTTACAATTGACAGTTTTGCTGAACGCCAGGAGTACAGCTGTCACGCAACACTGGTCTTCAAGTCTTAGATTCAGAAGCTTTATAGTTGTGTGCTCTGCCTGCCCCTCTTCTCCTCTTACCCAATTTTGGTATTTTCAACACAAAACCAAAAGCAAGAACACGCGGACATGACCTTAAACTAACTGGAGGAAAGTTCAAAACTAATCTCAGAAAGTACTCTTTTACTGAAAGAGTAGTTGATGCTTGGAATAAACCTCCAGCAGAAGTAGTGACCCAGCCAACAGTAAACCGCTTCAAATATGCTTGGGACAAGCATAGTTCTATTCTCAGACAAAAAGTTAAGAAAAAAACAAAACAAAGCCCCACTCCCCAAAAAAATGAAAAAACAACCCCCCCATCCAAAAAACCTAAAAAAACATACACAAACACAAAAAAAAATGGCAGACTCCATGGACCACTCAGCCTTTTCTGTTTCTATCACAGAAAGCTTAACCTATTTATAAAAACATAAACTCTTCTGTGAAAGGACAGGACATACAAGCAAACAGGCACACAGCAGCCGCATCTCTCCTGTCAGAGCACCGAGAGTATAGTGTTAGCTGTACTCCTGGCTTTCAGTAAAACTCTCAATTGTACATAAAAGAGTTAAGTTCTTGAGGTGGCATACACCTCTTTGGACTTAACCCATAGTAAAACAGCACATTTTAAATAATGAGGTTCTTTCTGGCGTTCTTCTTTACCCCCTAATGCCTGAAGGTGAAAAAAATCTTAAAACTGAACCAAGTTTTGCCATTTTTGGCGTGTGTTTGTAAATCTTTACATATCATCGTAACCACTGAGTCTATCCAGGTACAGTTGTGCTCAAAAGTTTGCATACCCTGGCAGAAATTGTGAAATTTTGGCATTGAAATTGAAAATATGACTGATCATGCCAAAACATTATCTTTTATTGAAGGATAATGATCATATGAAGCCATTTATTATCAAATAGTTGTTTGGCTTTTTTTAAATAATAATAACAGAAATCACCCAAATGGCCCTGATCAAAAGTTTACATATCCTGGAATGTTTGGCCTTGGTACAGACACACAAGCTGACACACACGGGTTAAAATGCCAATTAGTGGTTAATGTCCCACATCTGTGGCTTTTTAAATTGCAATTAGTGTGAGTATATATATAGTCAATGAGTTTGTTAGCTCTTACGTGGAAGCACTGACTAGGCTAGATACTGAGCCATGGGGATCAGAAAAGAACTGTCAAAAGTTCTGCGTAACAAGTTAATGGAACTTTATAAAGATGGAAAAAGGATATAAAAAGATGTCTTGAATATGCCAATTAGTACTGTTAGATGACCTATTAAGAAGTGGAAAGTTCGGGGATCTCTTGATACCAAGCCAAGGTCAGGTAGACCAAGAAAGATTGTAGCCACAACTGACAGAATAATTGTCTGGGATTCAAAGAAAAACCCACAGGCAACCTCAAAAGAAATACTTGAACAAAAATGAGCTGTTTGGTTGAGGTGCCAGAAAGAAGCTTTTACTGCATCAATGACACAAAAAAAGCCCAGTTACAATATGCCTGACAACACATTGACATGCCTAACTGGGCCTTTTTGTGTCATTGATGCAGTCAGTGCTTCCACATAAGCGCTAACAAACTCATTGACTATTTATACACTGACACTAATTGCAATTTAAAAAGCCACAGGTGTGGGACATTAACCTCTAATGTAAACTTTTGATCTGGGCCATTTGGGTGATTTCTGTTCTTATGATTTAAAAAGGAGCCAAACAACTATTTGATAATAAATGGCTTCATCTGACCATCATCCTTCAATAAAATAGCATTTTTGGCATGATCAGTCATATTTTCAATATCAATGCCAAAATTTCACAATTTCTGCCAGGGTATGCAAACTTTTGAGTTCAACTGTAAATATACCTTTTTTTTTTTTTTTCAGGACAAGTTAGCCATTCATTTAGTGGTAAATGGTAATAGAATTCTCCGTTTTTTTTATTATTATCAAGGAAAAACTATACTCAATATAGTAAAAATGTAAAAAAAAAAAAACCAAACCTTTTTTTGCCATTATCTTGTTCAACCAATTAAAAAAACAAACAAATGATCTTACTCCTGATGTTGGTGTTGATACCTCATATGTGTATATTATTGTTTTTATCTGTTGTAAAACCAAGAAACAATTATTTATTTCAGGTACTTATATAGTGCTGTCAATTTACACAGCGCTTTACATATATATTGTACATTCTCATCAGTCCCTAACCCTCAAGGGGTGTACAATCTAAAGTCTCTAACTTACATTCATACATACACATACTAGGGACAATTTAGACAGGAGCCAATTAACCTACCAGCATGTCTTTGGAGTGTGGGAGGAAACCGGAGTACCCGGAGGAAACCCACACAAGCACAGGGAGAACATGCAAACTCCAGGCAGGAGGTGCCGTGGCTGGGAATCGAACCAACGACCCTAGTACTGCCAGGTGCAAGTGCTAACCATTTAGCCACTGTGCTGCCCAGCAGCTGTGCATGGCAACCAGCTTCTATCTTCTGCTTTGAAAATGAAATCTAGAAGCTGATTGGTTGTCATGCACAGCTGCTGCAGATTCTGTCTGCTCCATCTGTGATAAATGCCCCACATGGTATCTCTTTCTCCATTCAGAAGGAGAAAAAGTACAGGGGCAGGTTTCTTTGACTGGTTACTCTGATAGCCTTTCACAGCATGCATGTGATCGGGAGCTGCTTGGTCTCAGTGCTGGGAGCACGCTATGGAGCACAAACTTTGATATGCAGTTCATCATAAGAAGGCCCACCTCTGCAATGCGGCACATATGTGTAGGACCGGCATAAACAGGCTAAAGAGACCTTTTCATATCTTTGTAAAGAACATTGTATTGAAGACTTTAAAGTTACTTGACTGTACGCTATAGTGGGCATCGCCTTGTTACTTACCAATGAGCATTCCTGACACAGACATTAGGAAGCAACAGTGAGCCCACTGCCTAGACCTATAAATATCCTAAACCTGACAGCATGAACTTGGGTTCTCTGTATAAAAAATGGAAATCCTAGAATAAATTATTTGGATGGCAGGTGAGACGAGCCATGCAAATTGGTGTCACTGTGATTAAGACTCTCATCTTTACTCATTTGACCCATTTACTGTAGTTTAGCCAGATGAGCTAACCTGATTCATAAGATCGTGTCATTCTTTGAGTTTTACAAAGAGAAGAATACGGTTATGTTCCATTTTCCGTGTCTCATAATACAAAGTAGTAATGTGTGACCAGCAATAGGACTAGCACTATCAGTGAATTGTATCTGTTTATCATTAATAGCCATTGTGGATTGTGATTTCAGTGTGTCAAGGTGCCACAGGAGATGTGGATGGAGCACAGGAAGTGTTCAGAGAAGTTCAGAAGCTTTTCAAGAGAAAAAACAATCAGATTGAACAATTTTCAGTAAAAAAGGTTTGTATGCAGCACCATAGACACAGCAACTTACTGAATAAAAGGAGTCTTACTACTCAGTAATCAGTGAGTAGTGGAGTTAGTTTTTCTGCATAATGGCCAAGTGGGATTAATCCTGTTGCACAGTAGCCATGTGAACTGGGCTTAGTCTTGCTACTCATTAACTGTATATAATGGGGTAGATCATGTTGCCCACTGACCAAATAAAATGGGGTAAGTCCTGCTGCAAAGCAACCGCATGATGTGGGGCTAGTCTGCTGCTTACTGAAAAAATGAAGTAGACTTAGCTCCTTTCACATGGGGCGGACTCTGATCAGCAACTGATCTATCCGCTGATCCCCTGGTGAGCAGAGTGAGAGGATCATAGGCCCATGTCCACTCTGCTCTATAGGCGGTCTGGTATAAACAGACTCCGCTGTCCGTTTACACCAGACTGCTATCCAATCCGCCTAGATAGATAGAGGGGAATGGATCCCCTTCTGTTTGGAGGTACGTGTCCATTTACACCCGCCAGTCCATAGGGCTTAATGGAGGGTTCAGTCAGGTCTGCCTGATAAACTGACAGGTGTACCTGATGGTGAAAGGGGCCTTAGTCTTACTGCTTGGTAATCACATAAGGGCTAGCTCTGGTGCACAGTGACCACATGAAGTGGGCTTAGTCATCCTGCATACTCACCATATGACTTGGTTTAGACCTGCTGCTTGAAACTTATGAAGTGGGGTTAGACCTGTTTCACTTTGACTACATGAAGTGGAGTGTGTGCGTGAGATAGATATAGATATATATATATATATATATATATATATATATATATATATATACACATAATTGTGTACACATATTATTTTTTTCATTGATTATTACATTTACTGATCTAAATTTTAGTAGAAATGGATTTCTAAGGTGCTCAGATACAACACAAACAATTAAAGTACACATTTATTATTGTTTGATGGTATTATCAAGATTAAAACATAGTTCCATATGACTCTACAACACTTCTGCTAGTTTAACTCAGGATGTGGTGCCCCACATCAGACCACATACGAATTTGTAGACTTCTGATACAAATTTTAGTTATTTTTCATTCTTATTCAAATTTTCCGTGGCTGTCTGTTAAGCTGTGTTGTGTTTTTTTTTATGTATCATGTAGGTCATTGCACACTCCAGAATAGGTAGGGATGGGCAGGCCTTCTATTTTTGATATCTAAGAGAAAACTACTGTAGAGTGTTAACGAAGGTATTTGACAGCTGAAGGTCAGATTTATAAGAATCTGTCAACATATTTAAAGTACACTTAGTCAGAGTTAAACATGAGGTACTGTAGTGCAAACAGGAAACACTGTCATGTCATTCTGTGCCAGAATCCCGATGAAGTTATTCCTGGCAGAGGGCTTTCGGTGCCATAAACAAGAAAGTAGTGGTGACTCCAAAGCATCTCCAACCCCAAACTATCCCTAACTGTAAAGCAGACCCTAACACTTACCCTCCTTACCCAAAACTCTAACCAAATACATAATAGGTGTCTTTAAATTTTAATTTCCCCCTCGATTCTTAAAGTAGAAGCTTAATCCTGTTCCCAGCCACATTCTATGCCTTATACTAACTAGCCTATAAAGGAAAGATTTGTATACTTACCTAATCTAAGGACACTCTAGTCCGGTCACGTGATCTCCCCAGCGTCTGACTTCAGGGGCGAGGAGAGCAGCGACAACGGCTGCAGAGCCAAAGGCTTACTATGGAGCATTCGTTGTTGCTTGTCCTTCCTTTTTTCTGAAGCCGTCCCTTGGAATTCATCAAGTGACCTGACCAGAGAACCCTTAGGTTAGGTAAGTATACACACCTTTCCTTTACAGGCTACATAGTATAGGGCTTAGAATAGAGATGGGAGCAGGCTTAAGTTTAGACCAGATTTCTACTTTAACCCTTAATGTGGGTACATGTTTCATAAGCAATTCATTTTTTGTAAATCCATTGTCAAAGTTCTTACTTGGAGATCCTGCCAGCAGCAGCACTTCCTAAATGTATATTCCTGGTTAGGTTGACGATTGGTGTGTTCCTAAACAAATGTATTTTTATCAACATCAGGGTGACAGATTTAGAAAACAAACTCCCACCAAACAGCTGTGTGTCTTGGCTGCCATTGAGGTTCTGTACCTGTGGAAAGCTCTGCCCAACTGTTCGATGTCTAACCTGCAGCACATGAGCCAAGGTATTGCTTCCTTTTATTGTATTCTAGAATCTGTTGCATGGGAAGACCCTTATTCAGGAGTCAACCCTATGTTGCAATAATAATCATTGATATGTGCTAGATATTTTTTTTGCTTAGTTTAAACTGAGCCCTTCAGACAGTTTGTGATCCCTCCAATAACTCGCTCCTGTTTTTCTATGCCTTTATTTTGTATGAACAACAGCTTGCCACGAGGTGCTGGATCCCTCTGTTGTAGGATTAAGGAATTTGCTCCTTGGTGCTATCCATAAATGTCTGGGAAATTCTGAAGATGCCATTCAGGTGAGACATTAAACATGGTAATTGGTAGTAGAAAACAAAAAAAAATTATTACAGTCGGGTAGATTTACTAAGACTGGAGCACTCAGAATCTGGAGCAGCTGCGTATGGTAGCCAATCAGCTTCTAACTTCAGCTTGTTCAGTTAAGCTTTGACAATACAACCTGGAAGGTGATTGGTCTCTATGCAGAGTTGCACCAGATTGTGCACCCTCCAGTTATAGTAAATAACCCTCAATGTGTTTTTTCATCCAAAATAAAACATCTTCCATAATTCTGACTCTTCTGCATAGTAGACAGTTTATACAATTGCCTCTTAACTACTTGCCAACCGCAGATAGCCAAATGACGGCTACACTGCGGCCGGCCAGTTCTGGGAGGGCGTCGTATGACGTCCTCCCAGAACATGCTCTCCTGCGTGCCCCCAGCGATCTCCGTGATCGCTGTGACACAGCGCTGATCACGTGATGTGGTACAAGGTCAATCACAGCGGCCTTTTACCACGTGATCAGCCGTGTTCAATGACATGCTGATCTCCAGGAAATGCAATTGCCGGTTCTCTGCTGCACTTTCCTCACGCTGTCAGAACATGGGGAAAGTACTGCCGAGAACCGGCAGTAGTCAGAGCAGGGATCGGCACTGATCATCAGGTCACTGATGATCAGTGCCCTGATGATCGGTGCCCGGCAGTGCCGCCCACCTGTGCCACCCACCTGTGCCCATCAGTGCAGCCCAGCAGTGCTGCCAGTCAGTGCCACCAGTCAGTGCCCAGTAGTTGATGATCAGTGCCCTGATGATCGGTGCCCGGCAGTGCCGCCCACCTGTGCCACCCACCTGTGCCCATCAGTGCAGCCTAGCAGTGCTGCCAGTCAGTGCCCAGCAGTGACGCCAGTCAGTGCCGCCTGTCCGTGCCGCCTATCTGTGCCACCTATCAGTGCTGCCTCATCAACACACATCAGTGAAGGAGAAAAATTACCCGTTTGAAAAATTTTATAATAGAAGCAAAGAAACTTTTTTTTTTTTTTTCAAATTTTTTGCACTTTTTTTGTTTATAGCGCAAAAAGTAAAGTGCCCAGCGGTGATTAAATACCATAAAATAGCTCTATTTGTGAGGAAAAAAAATGATAAAAATTTAATATGGGTACAATCTTGCATGACCGCGCAATTGTCGAAGTGCGACAGCGCTGAAAGCTGAAAATTGGCCTGGTAAAGAAGGGGGTATAAGTGCCCTGTAGGCAAGTGGTTGATTATAGTGGATCTTTGGGAGCCATAACGCTGGCAATACACTAACAATCAATATCAGATTTGATCCCATAAAATGATCTTTCACTCAGAGGCAATTGACACAGCATAAAAAAAGGAAGGGTTTGATCAACTTCTACTGCATTTTCTGCCATGACCAATCCATCCTTGTTGATTTAAAATGGTAGTATCAAGCAATTCTGAAATTCTAAAAAAAGGATTACTGTACATGACACTTGCATTCTTTGGAATTGATGTATAGCATTTCTTAACGGTTATCTAAACCACATATACAGTATCAATCATTCTGCTTGGTTTAGGTGAAATCTTCCTCCTCCAATGCCTACCCCCAGAATATTCCGGTATGGCAGGAGGTAATAGAACTAAGGGAGCTGTTATAGGTTCTCATTATGAGTGCTGACTATTCCTGCCCTTTCTGCCCAGCTAATCCTTTTCTAAAAGCCATGCTACAGCTTCTATGAATAAAATGTGATCTATGAATGGAGGGGGCAGACCTTTCAGTCATCCATTCACCCTCCATTCATAGATCTTGTTGCATTTATAGAAGTTTTTTTAAAACGTAAAATTAGGCTTTAAAAAAAGAGCTGATGGACTTCTTAAAACCTTTTTTTCTTTACAGTATTTGTCAACTTAAATGAAGTTTGCTAGGAATCTAATAAATTACAACCATTTTGTCTGTGTTTATCAAACATTGTTTTAGTTTTACATCTGAATAATAGGAAAAAAATTCTCATTTAGTTCTTCCAGCGTGCTGTGAAAGATGAACTGGGGCGACAGCAGAACCTCTACATACAGCCGTATGCCTGCTATGAACTGGGCTGCATTTTGTTGGACAATCCAGAGGTACACATCACTTTGTAGTTTTTACTTTTGCTTAATGGTGAACGCCAGGCAGATATTAAAAAACACAACTGAATGCGGTTATGTGTTCATAAAAAAAATGAATGAAACTACTGTAAATAACTGAATTGGAGTTTGTATCAGCATATCATATACATAGCTGATAAATCGCTGAACTGGATGGACAGAAATAGTTTTCTTTGACAGGTAAAGAAGCTCCTATTTGTGTATTTCAATGTGTATTTAGCTGTTTGTCTGGAATTCAGCTTTATTCTCTCTTTTTACTTTTTAAATGTGTAAATTGTGTATTAATTATTAAATGCTGACACACATCATAGTAGTTGTGCTTAACTTGTCTTGTTAAAAACAGCCTTAAAATTGTCCCTCTGAGGCAGTACCGCTAAATAGATTTCTTAATATTGTACATGAAGGCCAGGTTCACATATGTGCAGCCGTGCGGGCTGCTATGAGCCTATTCCCAGAGGTTCCCAGTACAGCTGCGATTTCCAGTGCGGGCGCCATGCCATTAGAATTAATGGCCCCCGCCCGCGGGTCCTGCATTCCTCTGTGTGGGTGGTGTGGCTGCAAGTATTTGTGCAGGTCCCGCAGTGGCACCACCCGCACAGATGTGAACCAAGCCTAAGGTTAGATTCCCATCAGGTGCGGTGGAACTGCATTGGGTGGCTATTTCAGTGCAGTCCTACCACAAGACAAGGCAAGCTGCTTTGTCTCCTGATTGGCCAGTTCACAGTGGTGTGTGAGCAGTGTGTGCTCAAAAAGTACCGTGTGCAATACTTTTTCCAGTGCAGAGCAGTCATCGTATGGTGGCGAATAGATCTTCATGAAATGTCACTGGTATGAGTGGCCCCTGAGGGACACAGGATGAAGTGTTCTGGTACATTGGGTTTATGCTGCTGTCTTCAAGAGATTGATTACTGGCAAACAAAAGGACAGCCAAGTATAACCCCTTCCACTTTCATCATGCCTCCATTTTTTGCTAGTGTCCTGTGAGAACAGATATCTTTTTAGAGAAGTGAAGCACTTTCTTTTCTTTTTATCAGGATTTTTTCTTTATTTCACCATGATCAGGACATTGTTCTCCTTTCTTTGTCCTGTTTCTTCAGACCCCAAGGAGATTTGCTTCTATTGTCCGGATGTGGCATGTGCAGGTCATGTCTGTCTTATTTACAGCTCCCATTAGATGTTACGCCTCTCTGCTTGTCATTACTGTAGGTACTCGTTCACTGTTAATAAAAGGTGAATATATTGGAGCCCAAGGAAAGGGTATTAATGGAATATTATCTAATCTACCAGCTGCAAACTCCACCCTAATTGGTATAGTGTGTAACAAAGAACAAAAAATTATTTGCGCTAGTGAGTAAAACAAAATACTCCAAATATACAAATGTGAATCTAAACATAAATAAATACAACAAAAATAAATTAAAAATATATATAAATAAATAAGTGTCTAAAAAAAAATGTCCAAGGATAATGTGTAAAAATCTTTAAAGTCCAAAAGATGAAGAAAATTCTGACAGTCCACCACCAGAAAAACTAAATAAACTCACCAGAGCTAAATGATAAATCGGCATAAGGCGCTAAATGCTCTAAGAGCAATGATCAGCAGGATGATAAGCCACTAGTAGATCGATCTCCAGGGGGGTGATGTTCAGCAGAAGCCAACTCCAAATCAACCAAAATGAAGGAAGCAATGATCTGTATTGAAAAGTACCACTAAGGAAATCCACTTCTCCCAGACTGCACCTTATTCATATCCAAAGGGTATTAGGCCAGACACACGGAAAAGAACAATAACAACTTCATACTGCAGTACCTTAAAATAACTTCATTTATTATGCACTCATTGCACTTAACTCAAAAGGTGTCCCAGCCGACACCAGCGTTATCAGCATGTAAAATACACAATGAATGAACCCAGCCACTCATCTAATGCGCACATGCGCATTAGATCGCTGGGAAATGTAATGTCACATCGATCAAACCCCGCCCTACGTCTTTCGTCATCGACGTCCTCATGGAGTGTGGGGTTTGATCGATGTGACGTCATTATGTTTCCCAGCAATCTACTGCGCATGTGCCGAGTGGCTGGGTTCGTTCATTGTGTATTTTACATGCTGATAACGCTGGTGTCGGCTGGGACACCTTTTGAGTTAAGTGCAATCAGTGCATAATAAATGAAGTTGTTTACAGGAACACAGCTCACAGGAACAGAAGCTGTCAATCTGCTGGAGCTCCCTCCTCTGTCACCATTTTTTCTTCTTGCTATCAGGAAAACATGTCAGAAATGATTCATGCTGATAGCAGAGAAATGAGGCAGCAGACAGAAATTACACTTAGTGCTCTTAATTGAGACAAGTACACACTATAGAGGGATATGGTTTGTTCATATTTCATGTCTGAGGTTTGCAACCACTTTAAAGGATAAGTTCACCTTTTAGACAAAAATAATAAATGCACATGTTTTTGCAAGTAAATAAATGTGCATTTATTATTTTTGTCTACACAAGGCTGGAAAGCATTGCACCAGCGATCAGTAGATCGCTGATGCCATGCAGGTCTCCTGCAGACATGTCAGGATATCTGCTTGCTGTACGGGATGTAAGAGCAAGCAGATATTCTGACAGGAAGATTCAATGAAACTATCATGGCGTTCCACAGTGCCGCGGTGATTCATTGAAAACTACAAGCTCAGAGCTTCTAAGGCTGTTGGGACTTGCAGTTCATTTATTCACGGAAGTCTGTGAATAAATGTTGCAGCCGCATGGGCGGAGGTCCGCACGACCACGCTGTTTTCAAATTTGACAGATCGCACAAAGAGAAGTCTCCCCGTACTATCTGTCAGATTGAGGGGGGGGGGGGGGGTTGGCGGTGGCTACGGGAACATGTTACATGTTCCGCCCTAAAAATGGGTGGAACATGTAACAAGTTCCCAAAGGTGAACTTTACACTGCTTTTCTTATGATCCACTTTTTCTATTGCTTTGCTACTAAACTAAGGCATGATGTAAGTAAGTGGGGTTATACTAGGCTGTCTTTACAGCTTTTGTTTGCCAGTGTACTGAATGTCCTGAAGGCAGCAACATAACCCAATGTACCTGAATACTTGACCCTGCTTTGTTATTGTACTCCCAAGAAAAGGATTTTACGGTAAATCAAAAATCCTGATTTTATGTCCCCAGCTAGAGAGACGTGAAGGATACTTATTTTGTCTGCTGGTATGCAGGAACTAAGCTATACTAATCACAGAGCAGAATTTATGGGCTGGCAAAAACAACCTTATTCCTTTAAACCAAGCTAGGTATGCCTTGTGGACTTAACTGAGGTTTTTAGGACATATCGAATATGCCTATGGTCCTATGATAGTTAAAATACATATGATGAATTATAATTTGTGTATTTTGATATGAATGCAATACAGATTTATTTTATTCTCTATTTTTTTCAGACTGTTGCAAAAGGGAAAACTCTGCTTTTTCAAGCCAAGGTAATATTCATGGTCTTCCAGCATGCTACAGGACTTGGCCAGTTGTAAGATTGTACAGTACACAGACTAACCATCCTTACTTGTATCTCTCTTGTTTTGTGCTGCCTGCAGGAGGACTTCACAGGTTATGACTTTGAGAACAGACTGCATGTACGGATCCACGCAGCCTTAGCCTCTCTCAGGGAGGTGGTCCCTCAGTGACAGCAAGGAGGACAAGACTCTTCTATCCCACACAGCTTTCTGCACTTACAACACACAGAAGAGTATCACAATGGCGTGTGGATGATACGGGTGACTGAGCATGTTCTCTGAACGCCAGCTGTGCCGATACTAAGAGACAATTCACAGTTGCAGTAAAGCTGAACTGACACAGAACTATGACGTTTTTTTTTAAATAATCTGCAAGTCAAAACTCCATCCTAACACCAGTATAGAATACTTTGCTACAATGGTGAATTTTCCTCAGAAGTATTGTAGTGACTTGTACAAAGTCTGCCCAACCCATGTATTAGGCACAAGCCGCAGTTCCACTTACTGTAGCCAAACAGTTGGCCTTGTGTCATCTTTTCTTTCTGTCGGGTTGTACAGATTATGCAGTCATTAAGGAGATGGATGCATTAAGATTGTGAACTATACATGTCAGTAAGTTGAACTGCTGTGCAGCAAAACCTAGTTCTTAAAGGAACAAAGTAGTCTGCTGCTGATCTTCTCTCTTACCTTTCTGATTAAAATCAATGAGGCTTAGTTGCTATACACTCTCGCTAAAGCAGACTTGTCATGAAAGTTGACCAGCCAATACCACAGTAGCTGGTCTACTCATCCATGGCCAGATTTAGGGTAGGCTGTGACCTGTTGAGGTTTGTGGAGGTGTGTTAGCACGCTTTGTAATTTGCATAGCTACACAAGACCCCCATCTCAGCACCTTACATGACTATAGTCCACATGCTGTATTACATATACTTGGGCTGGGGTTGTAGACATATAGTAGCATGGACATCTGCTCATAGAAAACGTACATAAAAGATGGTATAGTCTGAGTTGCTTTTTTTTTGGCACCATTAGAAATAATGGTAAATGGCAGCTTTCTTTTTCTCCTTTGTTTAAAGACTTATAACATGCGCCTGTTAATGGGAGCCTTTATTTTTGCATAAGCGTGTCTTTAGGCTTTGCGTAAACTTTTGTTAAACTCCATTCAAAACTTTTTGGGATATAGTAGGGATGGTGAGGTGGGGAGGTTAGTACATCTGTGAGGTTTGTGAAGTATTTGCTTATGTCCTTTGCATTTTGAGGGGTATCATGCCATACATGGTGCAAATTTCCATTACTTAAGGGGGAAATCTCACCAGCAGGACACAAGCAGCAAGACAAACGTGTCTATCTTCTAGTACAGTAAAGCAGGCCATACATTAAGCAAAATTGCTTGATCTCCCATCAACACATTCAGTGTTTGTGGTGGAATCCCTCCTGCGGAGTTTGTATTTTCTGACAGCGGAAAGTTTCCCAGCTGTCAGAATGCAATGATCACTGCCAGCAGCTGTAGCCGCTGGCAGTGATCAAACAAAGAAAAAAAGACTGGCTGGTTGTACTGAAATCAAATGATCCATGTCAGTACAACCAGCCTGCCCATACATGGATATACCAGCAAAATATTGATCGTCTGTGACCGGCTTCAGCAAGGTTTAAAGTATTGTCAGGATTATATTGTCACTTGAATTTAGATGAGGGAGATCTCCACTCATTTCCTGTCCAGGGAATAGGTATCACACAGAACAGGAAGCAAAGAGAAATCTCACCTAGGGATTTAAGTCTCCTCAGTGGGGGCACAGACAACATTTAAAACCTGATATTCTAACCCTTCCCCATTTTCCTAGATTTGAAAACTGCTTTGTCTTACATAGTTACATAGTCAGGTTGAAAAAAAGACCATCCAGTTCGACCAATAGAAAAATAAACAGAAACCCTCCATATACACAATCCTATACTCACAGTTGATCCAGAGGATAACAAAAAAAAAATCACTATGAAGCGTGGTCCAGTTTCCTCCAGCAGGGTAAAAATAAATCCTTCCTTCCTGAGTTGCGTTTTAATGGGAGTATAAAAGAAAAGGGAGAGAGAAGATCAGGAGCAGAGTATTTTGTTCATTATGGGGAAGGCAATGTTGAAGACACCTGGCTTTTATTGTACAACTGCTAAGAGGGCTGAGTAAAGCACACGTAACACAAAGTGATGTACATTGTCCTCACTGCACACCCTACGCCTATGTAGCATATGGCTTGCCATATTGAATAGTAGGCCAATTAGCTGTACACCACTCTGTTCATCTAAACTATATTAGGCAAGTGGGGCTACATTTTATGTGTTATTACTTGTTGTGGATAGTTAGTGAGGAAGCACCGCGAACGCAAGGCACAAAGATGCTCCAACATTCCTCAGCAAAATTCCAAGAACCTGATGTACTTGTCTGTCAGATTCAAATGTCAAACCAGGTTTGAGCCTGATTGATGTCTGAGAGAAGGATACCCATTTCTTAGTAGGAACATATAGATACATCTGGCCTCATAATATCCCTATTTATTATAACCAGGGCAAACATGTCTGTTTAGGATTAGACTTCGATTTTATAACTTGTAGAATAAATAGGTATAAGTATGTTTTAGCGGAACAGTTTAAAGTACAGAAATACTTCAGATGAAAAGCCATCATGATTTATGTACAATATATTTAAAAAAAAAAAAGTGTGCATTAGTGCCCTGTAGTGTTTAAGATTTTACATTGCCCTTGTAAATGGTGCAGGAAAGTAAAAATATCATTAACCCTGGCTAACTGAATATATTTTAACAGGGGCCTAATGTGGTTCCATGCAAACAACTAGAATACAGTGCACTTCAAAAATTGAAGTGGATAAGAAGACATTGATAAAGCAATATATAGTAATCAGCATGACCATTAGGCAATTTCTGAGTGCCGAAAATGAATCAGGATTGTGTGGAAGGACACTGTATGATCTCACACCCTTTGCCTGGATTTTCTACCCATTAAAGGGCAGGTTGACAGCCTACACAAAAGAGATTATGAAAGTCTTGTGGGTAATTCACAAAGAAATTTTATAAAATTATTATTTTCTCACCCCAAGAGTCAATATACTTACCAACATATTGCACAGTTGTAGTATGCAGCCATTATTGTTGTGATTGAACTAGGTGTAGAACCAACACAGTCCTTTATTTGTAGTAAATAATACATTTACTTATTATTATTATAATACAGGATTTATATAGCGCCAACAGTTTGCTCAGTGCTTTACAACATAAAGGGAGAAAATACAGCAACAATACAGTTCAATACAAGAGGGATAGAAGGGCCCTGCTCCTTGGAGCTTACAATCTAAGATTTTATATTTTATGAATGATTTTATCTCCCTTTGAAACTGTGCTATTTCTGCAAGAGGCTTAATACAACCTTACTATTAACCCCATCCAAAAGCAAACTATATATTAACAGGTGAAAGCCTATATATATATATATATATACACACACTTTGTTTTTAACTGTTACATGCAAAATAACACAACAATTCTAACAGAACAAAATGCATGCATTCATCTGACCTACTGTATGTTGTAATGCCTTTATTAATGTACAAAATATTTCCTGAATATATACATAGTACCGACATAGTATCCCATAACTAAATCTAAAACCATTAATCAGTTCTTGATGATAAAAAAAATGACCTTTTAAAACAAAGTAGGAAAGTAACTTGATCATAGAATGTCTTTTAAGGTCACTGTCTCTATTCAGGTGACATTTATGTTACATTTCTGTATTCATTTTGATTTGTTTTCTCTCCTTTTGCATCTTCATGTACCCCTCTCATAATCAGATGTACAATATCTGCAGGGTAATTCACTGCTCATTTTGTATCTCACCTAGGGTTATGATGAGGCATACTGCCTGTACACCTCACCTGAGGCTCAGTTGACAAACCTTTACACCATGATAATCAAAATCTCACTTGGTGGAAAATAATTGCCATTTTAAAAAAAAGGAATTTTATCCTGCTGTTTTAGCTTGTAAATTCAGCCTCTAGTGTGTTATCATGCATTACTGCAAAGTGTAGTGTGAATGGGCCCAAGTTCTTATGGAATGTTTTGAGGCCCTGTTCCCCAGGAAAAAAACTGGGAAGATTTCCAGTAGTCTTTGAAGAATACGCAGCTCTTTTTTGTCAAGCATGATGTCATACAAAGTGTGAACTAAAATATCTTCAGTTGGCCAACACAAAGCGGCAGCTATTTTTGCTTTCCTGCTACTATCTATACCAGACACATTACCTTACTCCCTGTGATACTTACCACACCGACAAGACCCATACAACACTATAAAAGAAATACAAAGCTATCAGCTGTGAAGGACACTCAAAGGCAATACAGTAAAGAAACTGTAGCACTTCTCTATATATTTGAAAATGCATTTTTCTTCTAATTCAGGGATATCTCCAGTCGTGTCTCTCTGAACATGCCACATTGTAAAATTAATTCATAATGTGCAAAAAGTGTATTATTATTTTTTTTTAATTTATTGCATTTCCTGATAAGGTGTAAGAAAGTTGACATAGGCTATGGAGGGATTATTCTGTTTACTGTTAGGTTTTATGCCAGGTATCAATGATTTTAGGTTAAATTTTATGTATTTATAAAAAGTATTTATTTGAAGGATTGTTGTTTTGCATCTCATATTCAGTGATGGATACATAATATGTGGTTTACCATGCTATAATTTCATGCATTGGTATGCAAGGTAACATGTAGATGCCAATTAAAAGTAGTATTGGAAATGTACTAATATTTTATAATCAAATGCATCTCATATTCAGTGATGGATACATAATATGTGGTTTACCATGCTATAATTTCATGCATTGGTATGCAAGGTAACATGTAGATGCCAATTAAAAGTAGTATTGGAAATGTACTAATATTTTATAATCAAAAAGAGCAAAGACAGGTAAGTACTGTATATTGATTATGTTGTTGGACCTATTTTGGGAATGTGAATTTCTGCAGTCCAGTTTCACATGACTGCCTTGCTTGCCACAGACATTACTTTTCAAGGGAACTACTAGGAAAAATGAAATAGTCTGTATGATTGGAGCCTTTCTCTGCAGTAACATGAAAGGAGCCAGTAGGTGTTATGAAGCAGCA